ATAATTTTTAAAACTAATTTTCAGCATTTTTAAAACCTGCAGCTCTTATTATAATAATACCTGGTGAACCTCCAATGAAGGTCTTGCTTTTTGTAATAAATCAAAAATAAATTAAGATACATTGTGCACGCAAAACCCCCCAAAAACTAAATTCAAAAATATAAAAATTGTTATTTGCAATTTGTGTATAAGAGACCCAGCAAACTACTTGACACATGTGAGAGTTGATTGAAGATTATATCCTTTATTAGAAAACCTAGAACATACAAAAACCTACTGTCTAACTTATAAAAACCATAATTGGCCAATAATAAAAATTCAACCATAGCAGCTACGAGACAAAATAGTGTATTAAGCTTCATTCCCAATAAAAAGGACAAGATACATATAAATTGGCAGGTATTTATAACCCAATAGGGGGCATAGTCTATACGTTCATGGCCAGAAATATTGGTACCCCTGCATTTCTGTCAGATAATGTACCACTTTGCCCAGAAAATTGTTGCAATTACAAATGTTTAGGCATTCTCATGTTTATTCCTTTTGTTTGTATTGGTAGGACACAAAAAAGAGGAGAAATAAAAAGCCAAATCTGACACATTCCATGCAAAACCCCAACAATGGACTGGACAAATATATTGGCACCTTCTCAAAATTTTAAAAAATAATTGCATTCCAAGTTTGTGATGCTCCAGTAATTTGGAATTAAACTCACCTGTATCAATTAACAGGTGCTGACAATATAGAAATCACACTGGCAGCCAGTTAAAATGGTGAATAATTGACTCAAACTTTCTGTTGTGTGTCTCTGTGTGCCATATGGAGCATGGAGAAGAGAAAGATCAGCAAAGAATTGTCTGAAGATATGAGAAAGAAAATTGTGGAAAAGTATGGACGATTTCAAGTCCATCTCCAGAGATCTTAATGTTCTTGTGTCCACTGCATGAAACATTGTCAAGGCGTTTACAGCCCAAGACACTGTAGCTAATCTCCCTGGACGTGGACGAAAGAGAAAAATTGATCGAAGATTGCAAGGAAGGATTGTTCAAATGGTGGATAAAAATCTCTATCTACTTCCAGACAAATTCAAGCTGACCTTCAGGCACAGGGTACAACTGTGTCAGCTCACACTATACGCGCCATCTGAATGAAAGGGACACTATGGTAGGAACACCAGATGGCTGGTGAAATGGGCTGCGGGGAGGACTCCGCGGGATCATTGGACAGATGAGTGGCTGTTTTTTAAAAGTCAGTAGTTACAATTTTTTGTAGCTGCTGACTTTTGTTTTTTCACAGTGCGACTGGAACTCGGCTTTAACCTGTGCACCTCCACCACCAACACCCCAGATGTGCCCTCACCTGGAGCTTTTGACCTCACATAAAGCTGGGTCAAAGAACTCCTCTGCGTCCCTTTGCTTGGACTTAAAATAATGGTGTCTCTTGGATTGGAGTCTTTTTTCATAGATGAATAGCCTCCTTCTTGCAAATGCTCCTCCTCCTTGCTCTTCCGCTCAGCATACATACACCAAAGATATAAATTCAAAACAATAGTGCTTTATCCTTAAAACCACATGTTTATTAAATAATAAAAACTAACAACTCATGTAGTATAGTCAGTACTAAACTGGCCAGCTATGAGTCCAGAACTCAATCCTATAGAGCACCTGTGGAGAGATCTCAAACAGCAGTTGGGTAAAGGAAGCCTTCCAATCTGAGAGACCTGGAGCAGTTGGCGAAAGAAGAGTCGTCCAAAACTCCAGTAGGGAGGTGTAAGAAACTCATTGATGGTAACAGGAAGCGATTGTTTTCAGTTATGTGTTCCAAGGGGTGTGCTACCAAATATTAAATTGAGGGTGCCAATAATTTTGTCCAGACCATTTTTGGGGTTTTGCGTGGGATGCGTCAGATTTGGCTTTTTGTTTCTGCACTTTTTGACATGAGAATGCTTAAACATTTGTAATTGCAACAATTTTCTGGGTGAAGTGCTGCATTATCTGACAGAAATGCAGGGGTGCAAATATTTTTGGCCATGACTGTATACACTGTATAATTATATCAGATGAATTTTACTTTTTGTCCCTGTCTCTAAATTGTCTCTTGTGTTGTCATCATATCTTACAGGATTTCAGTGGAAATTACAAGTGGCTGAAGGAAGATTATTATTATTATTCAGAATTTATGTAGCACCAACAGTTTGCTCAGTGCTTTACAATATAACGGGAGACAATACAGCAACAATACAGTTCAATACAAGAGGGTTAGGAGGGCCTGATCCTTGGAGCTTACAATCTAAGATTATTATTATTATTATACAGGATTTATATATCTCCAACAGTTTGCTCAGCGCTTTACAATATAACGGGAGACAATACAGCAACAATACAGTTCAATACAAGAGGGTTAGGAGGGCCTGATCCTTGGAGCTTACAATCTAAGATTATTATTATTATACAGGATTTATATAGCACCAACAGTTTGCTCAGTGCTTTACAATATAACAGGAGACAATACAGCAACAATACAGTTCAATACAAGAGGGTTAGGAGGACCCTGGTCCTTGGAGCTTACAATCTAAGATTATTATTATTATTATACAGGATTTCTATAGCGCCAACAGTTTGCTCAGCACTTTACAATATAAAGGGAGACAATACAGCAACAATACAGTTCAATACAAGAGGGTTAGGAGGGCCTGATCCTTGGAGCTTACAATCTAAGATTATTATTATTATACAGGATTTATATAGCACCAACAGTTTGCTCAGCGCTTTACAATATAACAGGAGACAATACAGCAACAATACAGTTCAATACAAGAGGGATAGGAGGGCCTGATCCTTGGAGCTTACAATCTAAGATTATTATTATTATACAGGATTTATATAGCACCAACAGTTTGCTCAGCGCTTTACAATATAATGGGAGACAATACAGCAACAATACAGTTCAATACAAGAGGGATAGGAGGGCCTGATCCTTGGAGCTTACAATCTAAGATTATTATTATTATACAGGATTTATATAGCGCCAACAGTTTGCTCAGCGCTTTACAATATAATGGGAGACAATACAGCAACAATACAGTTCAATACAAGAGGGTTAGGAGGACCTGATCCTGGGAGCTTACAATCTAAGATTATTATTATTATACAGGATTTATATAGCGCCAACAGTTTGCTCAGCGCTTTACAGTATAAAGGGAGACAATACAGCAACAATACAGTTCAATACAAGAGGGTTAGGAGGGCCCTGTTCCTTGGAGCTTACAATCTAAGATTATTATTATTATACAGGATTTATATAGTGCCAAAAGTTTAAGCAGTGCTTTAAGATGAAAAAAAAAATGATTTTACTTAAAAAAGTGTTTATGAAACAGTGCTTTAATAAACTGAATTTCATTCAGTTAGGATTTTTATCATTTTTAACTAAAACATGTTTTACTCGCAATATCATAAAAATAATAATTGCCTCAATGACAAAGTAGTCCATGGGCTGTGTTGTATTTCTGCTTTTTGCCATCTGATCACCATGGTACCATTTCATATCGGTTTAGAAAAGTACATGAAGACATATTAGTGATCTGTCTGAAGTAGACACTTTGGCTGTATTAACTTTCCCCGAGCTGTGGCTCAAAATAATAATCTCCTAAAGCTGTTTTTAGTTTTCCAGCTGCCCACATCTTAATTCCCCTACAGGCAGGAAATTTTTTGCTCGACTAGGTTGTTTGCATGAAACAGATATTACTTTACACTAGCTTTCATAAAGCTATATGAATGGACAGTGATACATGAACAGTTTTGATGTCTCTTGTAGAACATGACATTTCTCTGGACAGTGTAGTTGTAATACATGATGATTTAATTTGGTAATGACCGATGGTTGTTGGAGTAGTGCAATTCAATTACCTGCTCACAAGCAGCAGCTGGCTCTTATGTGTTTGAAACAAAACAGGTAGCAAAATACGTGTATGTACTATTTATATATGTATAATGAATGATTATCATTTATGAAAGCAAGGGCAAAGAAAATATTGGGCTGTAATTCTCTAATCTACCGCAACAATAGCATCAGCCCATGCCTTATTTTGCAGCACCAAACAACAGTCTCAAATTTCGGTATTATCAAGAGAGTGGCATCATTCACTAATTCAGTGGAGTCTTAAGTGGGCACTGCCTATGCCTAAATAGGGATGAGCTGAACTACCCTGGGTTTGGTTTGAGCAGGGTTCAGTGAACTTCAAAGACATTTGGATGCCAAACCTGAACCCTTTTGAAATCAGGGAGCCAAATCTGTCAAATTAAAAATGCCCATTTTGTGGGCTAATAGCCAAGGGGGTGTCAACAAATCACATGGTGTAGGCACCATCATGTGGAACATGTATCAACATTGTTTAAAAATTCTGTTCATCCAGGAGCAATATTTTAAATGCTTGAAGTAAAACATAAAAAATGTCCAGTTCCTTTAAATAATGTTCCTGGGGGGTTGTACTTATCATTGCACATCTCTGAAGTACAAAGAAAAAAAGTGTTTATAATTGTTGGCAAATGACATTGTGTTGCTGACTTCTTTAGTGTTACTAAACCCACAACAGTAAAATCAATCTGTATATGCTGTAAAGAATGCTTGTTATACTTGTTATACTCACTGTGGAACCTAAGGGGTTAATCCCCTGCATTGTGTAAAAAGGATGTTTGATCCTGCCTTCTCTGATCCTCCCCTTCTTCCAGTGTCTAACTCTTATCTGCTGCTGTTGCTAGAGAGGTTTTTGTTTTTCTTGGGAGAGTGCATGTGATCAGCACAGGGTCAATCAGCACTGCCCAGACAGAGGCCAGGGGTACTTTATCCTCCTAGAGAAAACTCCTCCTACAAGCTTTAACCACCTCCCACCCGCCATATAGTACAATGACGGGTGCAAGGCGGTCCTCTTGTTCTGGGAGGACGTCGTCCCATTCTAATCGTACATGCGCGGCTCCGGGAGTACGTAGCGCGACGATCGGTAGTGCGCTGTGTCCCTCGGACACAGTGGATCACCGATCAACGGAATGAGCCGAAAATGTTGGCTCGGTCATGTGATCAGCTGTGTCCAATCACAGCTGACCATATGTAAATAGGGAAATGCCGGTTATCAGCAATTCTCTCCTCACAAGCTGTCACGCTGACAGCTTGAGAGGAGAGCAGAGCCGGTAATCGGCATTCCTCAGCGGGGACATGTGCACTGATCATCAGTGTGCCCTGATGATCTGTGTAGCCCCTGTCACTGTCCATCAGTGCCACCTGTCAGTGCTCATCAATGCCACCTGCCAGTGCCCATCAGTGCCACATCAATGCCACATATCAGTGCCTACCAGTGCACATCAATGCCACATATCAGTGCCCATCTGAGCTGCCTTTCAGTGTCACCCATCAGTGCCAGTCAGTGCCGGCTGTCAATGCCAATCAGTGCCACCTATCAGTGCTGCCAATCAGTGCCAGTCAGTGCCGCCTATCAGTGCCAGTCAGTGCCGCTTATCAGTGCCCGTCAGTGCTGCCTATCAGTGCCAGTCAGTGCCACCTAACAGTGCCAGTCAGTGCCACATATCAGTGCCAGTCAGTGCCACCTATCAGTGCCGCCTATCAGTGCCATATATGAGTGTTGCCTTTCAGTGCCCATCAGTGATGCCTGTCAATGCCCATCTGTGCCTCCCCATCAGTGCCCATCAGTGCCACCAATCAGTGTCCATCAGTGCAGCCTATCAGTGCCCATCACTGCAGCCTCATTAGCGCACATCAGTGGAGGAGAAAAATCACTTATTTACAAACTTTTATAACAAAAACTAAGAAAACAAGTTTTTCTTTTCAAAATTTTCTGTGGTTTTTGGTTTTTTTAAGAAAAAATAAAAAATCCAGAGGTGATTAAATACCACAAAATAAAGCTCTATCCGTCACAAAAAAAATGATAAAAATTTCATATGGGTACAGTGTTGCATGACCGTGCAATTGTCATTCAAAGTGCAACAGTGCTGAAAGCTGGAAATTGGCCTGGGCAGGAAGGGGGTATAAGTGCCCTGTAGGCAAGTGGTTCACCAGTGCTCTGCTGAACACTGATAGTCACAAGACTGCTCTAGTTTACTAAAATAATTGCATTTCCATGTTCTGTGTACGGTGGGAGACCAGATATAGTGAACACAGGGTCCTGGGTTTAGTAACACTTTAAACAAACAAAAACAACAGCACACAGACCCCTTAAAGGGTCTGCTTTATATTTTAGAGGGCCTTTTGAAGGGTCTCTGTGGGGTTTTTTTGGTTTTATAAATGTCACTTTTGCTATAGCACATCCTACAGCAAAAATGAAAAATAAATGTGTAAGATCCGTCAAGAAATCATACCAGACCCTTACAGCCTAGTATGAATTTTAAGGGGTTCTCCATAAGGTCCACTAAAAATCCATACCAGACACCTAATTTGAGCATGCTGTCTGGCTGGCAAGGAAAGGGTGGTGGACAAGTCCTCCTTGAAGGGCCTTTTCCTGAAAACAATTACCATTGGTTGTGGGGTGTGCAGACAGGAGGCTTATCAAAAACTGGAAGCCCCCTTTGTTAATAAGGTGGCCCCCAGATACCACCCCTCCCAAGCAAATGGATAAGGGAAAGATAGTACCCCGACACATTCATAAAAAAAAGATTTAATCTAGAAATAAAGACACCAAACATTCAACAAGTCCTTTATTGGAAAAAAAATCCCCGAAAATGTCCATCTTTGTAAATCCAATGTAATGTGTCAATTATGATGCTTGCCGCCCCCCGACTTGCTGAATATAAAAACTGACAGCCTGCCACACACAACTGATCCCAATGGCACCACTAGCTGAATAACAGCTCCTGCTTCTGGCAAATCTTGAAAATCAGTTCTATTTATTATCAACGTTAATAGGCAAGGAATTTCCCCTTTAAAATAGGAGAGCCCTCAGATATCTTTCCCCTCCCCACGTGAATGCTTAAGGTTACTCATTCACAAAAAAAAAAAAAAACAATCAAAATAAACACACCATACGTTTGAAGTCTTTTAGTAGCAGAAAAATATGCCCCATAGTGTAAGTCCATTGTCAATCACCCAGTTCAGCAATGTGGATCCATGCCAATAACTATAAGCAATACCTGCTGACCTGCCAAAACATAAAGAAATATGCTGCTGACACAATCATAACCGTAATTGGTCAGTGAGATCACCTTGGACCCCCTACCCCTTTGTTTAAATTATTCTGCATTGTGCAGTTGCAGTGTAATTTACAGCAGAGTCTGTCGGGCAGATTGTATTTGTAGGTAGCATTTTTCTTTTGACAGCTTACCGTTCATCGTCATTGGACTTGGATCTATGGTTGGCAAAGGGATTTACTAAAGTGGGATTTTTCTTTTGTGGGGGGGGGGGGGGGGTTATAAAGGACTTTGTTAAATGTGTATTTATTTGCCTTTATCATTGTTTTTTGTGTGTTTGAGGGATCACTAATTTTTTTATGGAGAGGGATATCTGGAAGCCCCCATTAATTTTTCAAGAACCATCACATTACTGGGCCGCACTAGATTGTGGGAAAACAAGGCCACCTTCAAATGGGGAGATAAAGTGCTTTGCAGTATGCCCCCTTGGCATGGTACTCTTCGTTTGACATA